CCCCAAAACCCCAAAACCCCAAAACCCCGAGATTTTCAATGTTATTGAATTATTCAACTTTTACTAAAAATTACGGTTATTAAAGCTTAAGAAATAACATTAAAGGATACGCTAAAGTGCTAACAAGGGCAAAATAGGCCAGTTCTTTCCTCAATACAGGTAAAGCAGCTGCTGATGGTCAGAAATTCTTAAACATTGTGAACATTTTGATCAGGGGAATAATAGAGACAGTCCAAATTAGCTCACATATTATCTCACTTATCACTTCTATCACGAATAACTTATCATGCTCGTCTGAGTAATCACTGAAAGTACTCTTATAGAAAAAGGCCATTGAAGCACAGTGAGCGCAAGGTTGTTGAAAGTGAGAAAATGAACCCATAAAACTTGTAGTTCCAACATTATTTGCTTAGATCAATACCTCTCATGATCATGAAAATTATCAGAGTGCCAAATAAATCACCTATATCAAGCAGTTGCTGTAGAAAGAACTTGAGAGAGACTTCTTCAGTTTCTGATTCTCCTGTAGAATTCTCACGCTTTGCTTTGTCACCAGCTTTTGCAGTCTATAATTAGGTGTTAATAAGTTATAAAAATGCAAGAAAATGGTTTACTTTTTGTGGTGAGCAGAATTCTTGGCCGACATAACTCATCCCTTTATTAAACTGAGAGATAGAGTTGTTCTTCTCGTCTTCAAAGTGAGGCTCATTGAGATCTTTCATAATACTATCTTCAGTCTCCTGATTACTATTGGAACAAATATGCATTATATTTCTTGGAGAGTCCAGGTCTTCAATCCTGAGTTCATGACTTTCTCCAGAACCATTTATTTTTTGGTTATCTTCTTTCGCCCTCTTTTCTTCCTCTTCATTTATAACTTTTTCTTTTGAGATTATCTTGCTCTTCTTTCATTTAAATTTGCTCTTTATTTTTATGGCTACAGGAAGATAAAGCACGAAATAACTCACAGTCTTGTAACCAAACTTGATGAACACAATTCCAGCTGCAATGATGGGGATATCAACATCGAAGAAGAGGAATCTGTACGGGAAAGCAGCTATACCTAGGCTGAGGAACTCATAAATAGTCTCTACATGGTATTCCTTGATTGAATACTGCTATGCCACTTTTAGGATTCCAATCAAGATAGGGTAATAGATTCAAAATGTCTGATCAATGTAGGGGTTCTTCTCATACATCATATAGAACTTTATGGCAAAGTAAATTGAAGCAACGAGCTGCAGAAGTAGCAGCTCAATCCCTGCAATAGCCTTAAGAATACAGAATCCATCTGGGCTCTTCTTTTCTTTCGAGTTATCAGACTGAAGTGGGAGGTTGGTAGAATTTAATTTCCCTGCTTGCTCTTGAGATAGCTCATGGGAATTTTGCCTCATAGCTTATATCCCTGTGTTAGATTTATTTTGGTTTTTGCTAAATGAAACAAACAAAGTGCTGGTTTGTCTACTCTTCCTCTTAATATCTTGGCTTTCATTTTCTTGTGAGTTGACAAATATTTAGGGTACAGAAAGTCAGTAAATAAAAAGATATGAAATGTGTGAAGATCAAAATTGCAACAGCTGTTGCTCTAAATAAATATTTCAGTTTTTCAGGTGTGTTTTCAATGGCATATTTATCAAGGATATACACTACTCCAGACCCTACTGGAATATCAATTAACAGCAGGATTATGAAGATAAACATATCTTGCGCAGAGATCTCTGATCATTTCCTCAGTCTTCAGCGTGAAATTTCCGTAGGATCAAGGTATGGCTAAATATGCCAATGATTAGACCAAGATAAGCACCAGCAGATGAGGTGTAATTACATAAGAAAATGACATAAACCCCTGCTGTTATATTAATCATCATCCAGACAAGAAGAATCAGGAGAATATCTCAGTAATTTATTCCTTTAGTCTCTAAAAATTTCCCTTCTTTATCGAAAAGGGATTTGGGCTTCTGTTCCCAAACTTACTCTTTTTAGGGTCTTCTTGAATCACCACTGAGTTCTTTATCACTTCTCTTAAATGGCCAGAGATGTTTCCAGAGTTAAGGGTGGCATAGGTATCCTTGGTCTTTGCACGTTGAGCCACCTTTGAGCCCACAACCACTCTAGATTTCTTCCCTTTCAAGCTCTTCTTCATTGGAGGCAGGTTATGTGTTATCGCTAGTTTCATATTTGTATAATAAACTAGTTGGGAATTATTTATTTCAATACGAACCACTGAAATTGGGGTTTTGGGGTTTTGGGGTTTTGGGG